ATTATTGCCCTTGATCCTGATGTGGAAAAAATTATATTGTGACCACTCCCACAGCTTAGGGCAATGCTCTGAACAAAATAGAATCCTCACTACCTGAGGTCATGTTTGAATATCAGTATCACCAATCACATCCCAGTACTCGATCAGATTTTGGAAGACCCAACCCACTGAATATGTTAACTGACCATGGCCATATGTTGGTTTTGAGATTTTTCAATTTTTTTCCCCTATATCCCCAAACATGTAAAACTTTTATTCTCTTGCTGTGGCCTTTACCCTGCTCGTAAAGACCATAATTTTAATAACTCTCTACCATCAACTCATTCATGTCCATAAGAGGGAAAGACAACTCTTCAATGGAGGCTGCATGAATTTGAATTTCACTTAAGAATGATTGCATCATTACATTAATACCACCATGGTCCTGTTCTATGGTATCCTTGCAATGCCAGGGGTCCTGTGTCAACACGGGTCCAGCCAGGAGTTCTGTTTCAACACGGGTCCGACCCAGGGGTCCTGTGTCTTCAAGAGTCAGGCCAGAGGTCCTCAGTCAACATGAGTCTGACCAGGGGTCCTTTGTCAATATGGGTTCGGCCTAGGTGTCCTTTGTCAACACGGGTTCAGCCCAGGAGTTCTGTGTCAACACAGGTCTGGCCAGGGGTCCAACAGCAAAGTGTTGACTCAGAACCACTGGCATTGCAAGGATTCAGAAAGTAACACAATCATCTAATAATAAGAGACAATTGTTTCTTTTCTGTTACAGAGTTTAATCAAGAAACATTAACAAATGTTAAAATTATCTACTCTACTGAATATACATACATTACTGCAAAATGTATATAAGATTCATCCTTTAATTAGTATCTCTAAGATGTAAACATGAAAGCACTGATTGAGAGACAGTTGTATTGTCACCTGATGAAAAATAAATAAATGGAATATCAACCTACCAAGGTGAACACTGTATTGCACAGATGAAATATCAATAATTTTTTATCATTGTTCAAAAAATAAATAAATTAAATACATGTAAAATAAAAGATTAGTAAGTAGTAAAGCAGTATACATTTTCTACATAAAAGTTACATCATATCATCATTAAAACCCTCAGTGTTAAGCAAAATGATGTAAATAATTCATTTTTGTTTTTAGTATATCAGTATATAATTAAGCAACAAGAAAAAAATTAGTTTATTATACCACATTTATGCTGTATGTGTGAATGCAAAATGATTGAAATTGCAGTAACTACAAACATTTAATAATATGTTTACCCCCAAAATTATCAATGTTTAAACATTCACTTTTTTGACTAAGCATTTCAGGCACATGGTATATATTTTTTTAAGTGAGTACTTTCAATTATAATATCTGGACTACTGTTGGTTGCATGGTAGCTGTTTGGTTGTGGCTGGATTCAACAAAACATAAAAATCATTGATAATAGAATACATGTGTTAATAAAACTCCTTTCAAAACTTGAGCAATACAAATGTATTTTAATTGAATTTTAAAAAAATAATAAATGTTTAGCAACTAACCCCTCCTTATGAATCATGTTTATAAATTTATATACTTCAAATTTGTAATCCTTACTCTTTAATTTATAATTTTAAATGTAAATATTTTCATGCAACAATTTCTCTAAATGTAATTTACATAATAAGTTTTGCATGTTCTATAGTAGGAAATAAGTTTTATTTACAACGTTGCTCTTTAAAAAATAGGTCTAATGAGATGTGATAATCAGAATTTATAAGGTTTATCTATAGAGATTCTAAATATTGCACCGATTACTGTAGATCACTTAATTTTCGCGACACCTTATTTTCGCGAGATAGTCATTGACTCAGACAAAATTTTAGAATTGTGATCATTGCTCTATATAACCTTAAGGAATACTATTATTTGTGAGAATGAAATTTTCACGAGAATACCGTCTCGCGAAATTACGTGAAAATAAAGTTCTCGCAAATAAAAAGTGATTTACAGTATTTTAAAAATGAAATGTAGCATACTGAAATAAAAGAACAGCTGAAAGTATACACTATATATAGAACAGATAAAAATAAGTAGAGAAGTAAAGATACCACTTTTTCACTTAGAAAATGATTTTTGTATGTTATATAACAGATGTGCCTGTATTATTAAATGCCTGTGATCTATTTTTGAGAAGAAAATGTTTAAAGGTTTTCCTATTCATACTCATGTAAAAGGTTTCACAACCCTCCTGAACAAACTTGAATCTATTAACTACCGTATACTGTATACAGGGTTATTTTTGCCCCGTGTTATTTTCGCCCTCTTGTGCTTGCGGACAAGTTAGCCCCGTTTTAAATTCGCCCAGTCATAGTTCTGTTTAAGAAATTATGCACCCCATTTTAAATTCGCCCAATCAAAAAGGGGCGAAAATAAAACGGGGGCGAAAATTTCCCTGTATACAGTATACTCGCCTATAAGTCGGTTGTATTCAATAAGCTTATATTCTAGAAGGACTGACTACATAAAGTTCCATTCTTTTTATAGCTCGCCTATAAGTCGGACACAGAGTTTTGGACCAGAGATTGACTCCCAAAAAACCGACTTATAGGCGAGTATATACGGTACCCTTGAATACTTTTTTTTAATTTTGATTTTAAGATTTTAATTTCTTCCCCTATTTATACCCACATAAATATTTGATTGCCCATAGTGGCCCCTCCTTATCTCCTAGGAGTAAGATTAGAATCTACACTATGTCAAAAAGCTTTCATGTGTCTCAGCTTATCTAGCCTAGTGGTTCTTGTAAATGAGAAAAAGATTTTTAAAAGACCCCACCATTTTTTTTTTTTTTTTTTAAATGATCTCCCCTTGGAAGAGGCAGTGACCCTTCATTTGAACACATTTGAATTTTCTTTCCTTAAAGATACTCTGTACCCGGTTGAAACTGCACCAGTGGCTCTGGAGAAGAAGATAAATGTAACAAGTTTACAATGACCCAACAAAGACAAAGTACAAATTTTGCTCAGAAAATCTCACTACATTTAAGAAAATTGTAGAGTTTTGAATTTTTCCTATTTCAGTAAGGAAAAAAAATGACTGGCTGATAAGTGGCAAGACCATTCATATAGAAACTCCTGAATTTTGTACCCACAAATTACTGACCTTAATTCTAATGATTTGTGCATTAATTTTATTTTACAATCAAACATATAGCTATTATACCCAACATTTAAACAGACACAATAAACTCTGGGTTAACGAAAGAGAATCCAGCAAACTCAGTTTGATCCAAGTTCATGATGAACAGTTTGTCTGTTGGTGTCAGTTTGGGGGCTTCACTGGTAAACTCTCTGTCGAAATTACTGACATCTTTACGGCTTTTCTGTAAATTGAAAATAACATAAATGTGAGATATTGATATGAAATGGTACCAAGAGAAATGTTTATCAGCTTGTGGAAATTGATTTATGTTTACAGTGATTGTATTGGTCAAAGAACTAAACAAACAGATTTCTTGATTTTTCAATAGTTACACACAATAATGCAAATTAAGGCTGGATTTCATTAACAAATAGCTCCAAATCTTCATAAAGTCTTTTTCTTCCCATTGTCACTTTTTTTCATAATTTCATGACACTATATACATGTATAAATACACTTTTGTAAAAAAAAAAAAAAAATTTGCTTCAAATACAGTGAAAACTGTCTAATCCGACACCTGTGTAATCCACTACACTGTAAATTCGGACATTAAATTTCTTTCCCATTTTACTAATTTATTTTACACTTTGCAATCCGGCACACTGTCTATTCTGACACAAAATTCGTCTCTCCCAGTGCTTGTCGGATTAGACAGGTTTCACTGTATAATAAAAAACAATTTACCCTATGCTCAGAGAGAGACAGTCTTATGTTGTTCTGTCTGTGAATAAATCTTTACACTGTGTTCAATTAAAAAATCAAAAAAGTCAGTACCATTGCATTCATTGCAATAGTGTGATGACTATATATGCCTTTTTTAAAGAAGGGGTATGTTAAAAACCATTTCAAAGTTATTGCTTTGTTTCTAAACTGCATTCAGAGCTGTAGGAAGCAAAAATAAAAGGGGATGGGTCTGCTTTCTCCATACCACATTTATATATAGTATACTATAGAAAAAATTGATACTTTATGCTTGTGCCAAGTCTAATGACTTAAAGAATATCTTGCTTGTCAAGGAATTTTTGCATTTGCATTTTTTTTGCTTGTCAAGGAATTTTTGCATTTTCAGGTCTAGCATTACAGCTTCTGAGAGCTTCTACATATTAAATATGTTTTGTTGTTTTCATTTTCCTGTTAATTTTTCATTTGAAAGCATCTGTCCACTGATTTGTTGTTTTAAAAAATACCCCGGGCCCCATTAAAATTTCATCAATTATAATATTTAATTTTTAACAGTTACTGCATTACAGTTCTGTGAACCAAAAAAGCCTTCACGATCTCTATAAGCAGATACTGTAGATTGGCAAATAATCACTTGCAATTCATCATTTTTCATATTAAACCCATCGTGAATGCTATCATTGGTACTTAAAAACGTGTAAATTAATGCTTGTGTGTAATTTAAATTAATTTCTTGCAGCGTGAAATTAAAACCACTGCGATAAGTACTTTTAGAGAGATCTTGAAATTTTAACACTGTGGAATTAAAACTACTTACAGTATATAATCTGCATGTCTAAAAAAAATTTCTCAACTTCCAAAGGCGGAAACAATTTAAAGTAAAGAATTGGGCCCATGGTACATTTAAATTTCTGTGTATTTTTGCCAGAATATTAATGTGTCCATCCCCCCCTAATATTTCAATGATTATAATAAATTAAAATCAGACATCGAAAATATTGGGAATGTTGAATTTCATGAAAATTCATCGTCATCAACCAGTATTACCCTTCCAACAATTACTGTTAGTAATATTAGGCCAAAAAGACCCTCTTCAGATTATATTTGTCAATGAGAAAAAACGAACAAAATCTGTCTAAAATTTCTTTAGGTTGCTTTAATAGTGGTCAACAAACAATGGCGCAGACAACAAGTTTTAACAGACAATAGAATAAATGTAATTCGAGAAAGAAAAAAACAAAAAAATTCTGCAAAAAAAGAAATGTCAACTTAAATTCTATAAGGTTAAATAAAAAAAGATAATCCTCAAAAAAAAATTCTTTGATCGAGCTCAGTTTTCACAATGTCGGAATAAGTAATGGTGGGTTTTGTAATAAGTCAGACCATGACTGAAAAAAGTAAATAATAAAAATGCAATACAAAATGAAAGAGAAACCCAGACGCCTTTTCCAAAGTATAAGTACATGCAACAATGTATATATTTACATATATCATATAGGTTATGGTTTTATCATGACGTGGATTAGCATCAGAAGAAATGTATACATAAAACCTCTCATATATAAATAATTTACATACATCAAGAATTGTTACTTTCTCACAAAAAAAATAATTCAGCAGTGTGTAGAATTACAAAGTTACACATACAAGATTTGCTTATCAATAAAGCAGTAGCATTTTTTTTTTAACAGTGAAAAATGCATATGTGATATTTGACCCCCCAAAATGGCTTTGATCAGACACATGGACCTATTTTCTTGTTAAATCCTTACATGCATTTTCTTTCTACCTTGGTCAGAAAATAGTAAAACATTTAGATCGAATTTGTGCAGATCAATATCTTACAAAAATGATTTCATTCATCAGGGTACCTTGTAAACACCTATGAAAAATTGGATATATTACTTGAGCTCTTTGTTACAATAAATGCATTTCTACACTATATTACTCAACATTGCTGCCAAAATTATATAAAAACTCTTAAATTCACCTCCCTTGTAAAAGAAGCAAATGCCTTTTTTCCAAGATTCTGAATTTGTACTATAGCATTGAAGCACGGGATATAGACAGAAATCGGTCACAATTCCAATTCAGCACATGACAGTCTTAAGAAATTTACTTTTTTTCCTTATCAACTCTCTTTGAAAAGACTGAATGTGATTGAGTGAGAGGCCTATTTTTGTTCTCTGATGGCATGTGATAGACTTAATAGACTCGCACAATCATGTAATACTAGTGAAACTCATTCATGAATATTGCAATTATCCTCAGGCAGAAAATTGATTTGTGGACTACCTTCTAAATGAATGTTTCATCTAAAAAAGAGACAGGGCTGCCATTAATCCATTGAATTTTTCATGACGTAATTTACGATCTGATAGTGGTAATTTTGGCTTATTTATAGCTTTACAAAAAAGGATGAAAAATTTATTTTATTTTTTCCTTAATGAAAATTTCTTAAAAATATTATCAAGTCAAAATTATAGCATCTTTGTAAGTGAAAATTATAAAGATAAAAAAATATGGAATTGCACTTAATAATGAAAAAAAATGTCAAATAGATTTTGTCTATCTAGCACTGTTACAAAAAACATCTGAATATAATATCTATGGCACAGTCTATCTTTTCTGCTTCATGAAAGATGAATTTTTTAAACTGATATATTTTAACTAATATATTTTAAGAGGTTCGAACTAAAAGTTGAACACAAGAAGTGCATAGGAAAATGGAAGTCTTGAGCATTTTAAAATGATGAGCCAAATTTCAGATTATAGGTTGACTCATTTTTGCCTTCTAGCTATACTTATGCAGAAATTGTCCTGGCATATAATGAAAAATATTCCCATCTCTAAATCGGAGGATAATAACACGCTTTCTCATCTTGTACTCGGTTCAGACTAATGACATGAAATAACCTCTGATCAGGGCTTCCATATTTCACACTAAACTAATCGAGTGAGAATATTTGGAAAGTTTCAATCAAGGGTGGGTATTATTTTTTTCCTGTCAATTGTATGTTCTGAATTTAAATGATACGTTTCTTTCTGAATAAATAAAAGAGACATTACATTAAACATCCATGGACAACCATACCTAATAAACTGGTTAATAGTATCAAGTATCATACATTAATGTACAATCACATTCTAGAAACAATTGCTTTTTAAAATGTGAAAAAACATACATGTACATATAAATATAAAACAGATTAAATGTTAAATATGCTGCACATATATATTACATCTGATTTGTTATAATGCACAACATTCTTTATTATACTGTAAAAAAAAAACTTATCATGCTACATGTATATTTTTCATTTAAAGTGTTTGCGTTACACATTTACAGAAAAAAAAACATATTCTGCATGATTAGTCACAGCAAATAATTTTTCAAAAGAGATTTAAAATAAAAAAAAATCTTGTATTTAGCAAGAAAACTTACAACTGATACCATGCAAAGAATTAACTGGGTCGGTTTTAAAAGGGGAAAAGTTTTCAAGGGGTACAATGCTTCCCCAATTACATTTTATATCCAAGGATTTTTTTTTTTTTTCAACTTTTTAAAAAACTTTTCAAAGGAGAGTACCTTAGAAAGTAATTCTGAAATGTACAAGGTATTTACAAATTCAGCACAGTGGGAAAATGGTTTACAAATATGGTTATCCAATATTCAAGAAATGGTGAGAAATTTAATCTCCCAACAGCTTCATTGACAAAATAAATATATTTTCAAAAAAAATTTTTTTTTTGAGAAAATTAATTTCAGGTATTGTGATATATATATATATATATAAACATACCTAGAATTCATCCATTCATTTTTCTCTAAACATACAAACATATATTAAACAGCAAGTCCATAAGTCTAAACTCTAGTAATACAACAGCAATGTGCATGTTTACATACAACTAGAAACATTTATACTCATACAAACATAACTAGCCAATGCCTACTGGACATTTCAGCTCATTCAGATTTGATTGCATATGCATGTAAATAACAAAAATCTCATATGAACACGTCATGACTGACTTTCTTAGATGAACTTTTTTGTATGAATTTTTTTCACCCCCATGCAACACTTCATAATACATGTATTGGAAAATCCGATTTTCAAACATGGGAGGCTTTTTATATAAATGTCCAACACACATAACATCATACAAGGAATCCTTTTAATGTAAAAAAAAAAAAAAAGTTCTAGTGAGCTATAATGCGGAATTTTCGGTACGAGCAAAATCGGTAAAGAAAGGATTGACGTAAGTAAAGTCTCGGAATGCATTTTCGTCTATGTTCATGATAACAACACTGTCTGTCGGTGTGTTTTTCAGTTTCGCAGCAGTGAACATCTTGTCAAAATTTTCAGCCTTTCGTGGGTTATTCTGTAAAAAGCAAATTAAAAGAAACAAATACTTAAAATAAACAAGGAAAACACAAAGAAAAAATTAGAAGACAACAAATCAAAACACTACACAGCAAATTATCTATAACTTTATGCATCTAAGACTTAGATCAAATTTATTCTTGCAGAACTTAAAGACTGACTTGAACTCAAAGGAGCCTCTAACCCCCCTCCACCTTTAATCCCCCCTTTTTAAAGGAGGAGTTGCCATTTAACTTACTGCAAATCTATTTTAAGGACTGAATTAAGACATACAGTTTGTTGAAAGAATACATTTTTTCATTTTCATAAAGTTAATTTTTTTTCCATTATTATTTTGTTTGTTTTTGATTACCCTGGGTAGTAAATATGTGACTTCATTTATTTCTGTATCATATCTAAGTGTAAAGAAATATACCTGTATTAAATCAAAAAGACTAATAGATTCCTCTTAGGCAAAGTTATATTGTGTCGAGTCTGTAGTGCTTGAGAACCTTACAATGTTCAAATGACCAGAAGAATAAAGACAAGCATGGCTGAATTCTCACAAGCCTACTCTTGTCTGCTGAAGGAGAATCATATTGATACATTTTTATCTAAGTACACAATTCCTGCCCAATTATATCAATAGGTCTAAGCTGTCAAGTACATCCTTGTGATTCAATAGAACACATTCTGCAATTGTTGCCCTTACCAAGGTCAAAAGCAGAACCTGTGAACCTTTGTGAAAACTAGTTGTATGGCTAAAATGCCCCCACCAACATTCAAAAAGTCAAAAGATGTGAAAATTATGAGTGGTGAATTGAAAACCATGATATGTTGGTCGTATTTTTGTGAAGTAAGAAAATGGTGTCTGAACAAGAAACTTTTTTAAATCATATAGGTCGGAACTCTGGTGAAATTTGGTTCATTAATTTGTATGATACTTAAACTTGGTGTGTATTCATATGCTTACACACACTAAAAATCAGTTCATCACCACAAACGCAGCCAAAAAAATTCTGAAAAACCAGTAAATAATTAGAAATTTTTAAAGTCTAAGGGTAGTAACTTTCAATCAGCATGAAATGAAAAGTTGATCTCAAATTTATCCATATAAAGAGCCAAATAAAAAGAAAAGATACTGATAAAAAATAATTTTCTAACACCACAGCAAAAATAAAAATCCAGAAAATGGTGAATAATTAGAAGTTTTCTTTTAAAAAGTTGAAAGGCAGTATAAATTTTAATATTGAAACTTGATCTCCAAGTTATCTGTATATAAAGAGACAAATCAAAAAGAAAAAAAAAATACTTATCTACCAGCACAGCAAAAAAAACAAAATTTTTAAAAAATAAAATGAATAATTAAATATTTTTAAAGTCTAAGGCCAATAACTTTCATGAAAATGTGCCAATCAACATGAAACTTACACTTGATCTTTCAGTCATCTATATATAAAAGACATACTAAAAATTTAGCTCATTTATATCTACAAGCACAATCAAACAAAGAAAGAAATTAAAAAAAAAAAAATTAAATTAGAAATTTTTAAAGTCTATGGGGAAAAGTTTAAACAAGAGGCCCATGGGCCACATCGCTCACCTGAGCACTAAGGGTAGGAAAAAGTAGAAAATGGCTTTTTATTGTAAAGTTTAAATCCAAAAGTAGTCCCACGACCAATCATGGATTTGCTTTTTTTTTTAGAAAAAGATATTTAAAAAATTTCCTATATATGTCTTTAAAAACTTTGGTCGTCAATTTTGGCCCCGCCCTACCCCTGGGGGTCATGATTTGAACAAACTTGAATCTACACTACTTGAGCATGCTTCCATATAAATATGATGAATTATGGCTTTGTCATTCTTGAGAAGAAGATTTTTAAAGAATTTTCCTATATATTTCTATGTAAAACTTAGGTCGGCCATTTTGGCCCCGCCCTACCCCTGGGGGTTATGATTTGAACAAACTTAAATATACACTATCTGAGCATGCTTCCATATAAATATGATGAATTATGGCTTTGTCATTCTTGAGAATAAGATTTTTAAAGAATTTTCCTATATATTTCTATGTAAAATAGGTCGGCCATTTTGGCCTCGCCCTACCCCCGGGGGTCATGATTTGAACAAACTTGAATCTACACTACCTGAGCATGCTTCCATATAAATATGATGAATTATGGCTTTGTCATTCTTGAGAAGAAGATTTTTAAAGGATTTTCCTATATATTTCTATGTAAAACTTAGGTCGGCCATTTTGACCCCGCCCTACCCCTGGGGGTCATGATTTGAACAAACTTGAATCTACACTACCTGAGCATGCTTCCATATAAATATGATGAATTATGGCTTTGTCATTCTTGAGAAGAAGATTTTTAAAGAATTTTCCTATATATTTCTATGTAAAACTTAGGTCGACCATTTTGGTCCCGCCCTACCCCCGGGGGTTATGATTTGAACAAACTTGAATCTACACTACCTGAGGATGTTTCCCCATAAGTTTCATCTTTCCTGGCACAGTGGTTCTTGAGAAGAAGATTTTTAAAATATTCCACCAAATTTTCATAAATTCCCAATTATCTCCCCTTGAATGAAGACATGGCCCTTGATTTGAACAAACTTCAATCCCCTTCACCCAAGGATACTTTGTGGCAAGTTTGGTTGAAATTGGCCCAGCGGTTCTTGAGAAGAAGTCGAAAATGTGAAAAGTTTACAGACAGACGGACAGACGGACAGCTAGACAGACGGACGCTGGACAAAATGTGATCAGAAAAGCTCACTTGAGCTTTCAGCTCAGGTGAGCTAAAAATGGGTCACACAACATATAACTTCAACTTGATCTGCAAGTTATCAATACAAAGAGATATACTGAATGCTCATTATCTACAAGCATAGGAAAAAACTATATGATAAAAAGATAACATAGCGAAAGAACTGGGTTACACTTTGTATGTGCCCTGATCATCTCAAAACATGGTGGGGACAAAAAAAGTTTCTACCCAAAGCTTAGTGAAATATGGGATCTCTAGGTTTGTGAATGTACAGTTTGCTGTAAACAACAGTCAAGTAGCTACCACAATCTTTTTTCGTGTGTAGCTAAAGTTTTCCTAACTTAAGCCATTATTAAACATCAATGATGTGAAAATCTACAATTGACCCGTTTAGAGAAAAGTGTGAAATGTACAGGTGAAGACTGTGAGGATATCCCTAGATATCATAGTAAATTGTGATGACAACTAACATGTAGATATCTGCACAAAGATATCTGTTAACCATTTACTTACATTAATCCGAATTTTTGCCTTAGTAATGATACAGAATCTGAATAAAATAGCTGTTTAAAATATTACATGCATACAGTCACATAAAATGAAACAAAAAGAAACCCCCTCCAGAAATATGAGATTTCCAAATAATTTATCTCTTGAACACAGCAGCTTCCCAACACCTGCCATTATTACAAAACTCTTTCAGAAAAAAAAATAAATTCTGCAAATAAATGAATTCAAAACATAAACTTGGCATCTTAATTTAAAAAAAAATTTCATTTTAATTCACTTATTCAATTTCCCTTTTTAATCTACCGTATATATTCGCCTATAAGTCGGTCCGCCTATAAGTCGGTTGTATTTAATAAGCTTGCATATCAGATGGACTGCATGACCTCATATAAAACCATACTTTTAATAGCTCGCCTATAAGTCGGACAAAGAGTTTTAGACCAGAGATTAACTCCCAAAAAACCGACTTATAGGTGAGTATATACGGTACTCTCAATATTATCTGAAAATTATTTTCAATATTGAGATACATTGGTAAAAACTCACACAAGGTTATGTTAACCAGTGTTGAATACTATATTCCTGATTATTTGATTCTCTTATATTTTTTCACCTTTCTCCTCAAATGGACAGATTTAAATCTTGCATTCATGACTTTTGAAATAATCAAGGTATTCTTTATCATGTAGCAGTAATTCAGCATAACCCTTTTTTCACTTCTACAAACACATAATCATTTGTGACAAAGATAAACAAATGTAAATAGGTAATCAAAGATTACAAAGCCTGCCTCAACTAAAGCTATCTCTAAGTTTAAAAGTTTCAAACCAAATGAATGTTCTGTTAGTGTGTATCCCTTGATGCAACATCTATGCAACTTTGGTTTTGATAGAATTTATAGTGACAGTCAAACCTCCTTATCTCAAACTCTACAACTCCATATCTCAAACTCCACAAGGGAAAACTTTGAGATTTCTGAGGATTCAAGATATCTGGGGTTCAATACTTAGAGGAGAAGTGCTAAGGACTTCAAAATCACTTCAACATACCCATTGTACACTAGATATTAGTGATAAATTTATCGTAGCTCAACTGTACTTTGGAATGGACCTTCTCCAAAAACTTCTCATAATTCAATGACTATGTCCAATCATAGGGCTTAAAGTTACTTTGGAATAGATCTGCTTCAACAACTTCCACTTATTCAATCATCCAGAAAATGTAGGTCAGATCCAACTTCAGAACAAGTTTGAAACTGTGCATCCCTTGCTGCATTATTCATGCAAGTTTGGTCAATATAGGCCCAAGAGTTACTTGGAAAAAAGAACTGGCTGCTCCAGAAACATTAACCTGGTCACTCTCATGGAATATATTGGCTGAAAATGCCATAGAATCTGAAAACTGACTTTGTAATGAAACATTAGATGCAGTTGATGCAATTCCATAAAGGGAAGAAATACTTTTGAAAAAATTACCCCCGACTTTAACCTCGGATGTCAATATCAAGGACACAGAACCTCCTCGCTCCCAAATATTAGAACTTGGTTGAAGAATGCTATTACATCAGTCAAGATTTCACCCAGTAAGAAATAACATGCTATTTCTGTCTATAACTTTTATATGTTGTAGTACAATATTTTGCAGTACATATCGCGAGATAGTCATTGGCTCTTTATTAGCGACACATCATTTTCATGAATTGTGGTTATTCTTCTATATAATCTTAAGGAATACTATTTCATATCCCGAATAAAAAGTGATTTACAGTACTCTTTTATCCCCCACACCCCCCATTATTGTTCTTGACATTTATGTTTATCTGAAAGTCTTTGCCTCATAAATCTACCCTCTGGCTAATGTGAGATTGGTTTAAAATTTCTCTAACTTGTGGTCATTAAAACAACAATAATGCATCACAATCAACAATGACAAATCACTAATGCTTGTCTCCCACCCCAAGTCATCTGTAGCTTTTCCAACCGAAAACAGAGAATATAAAATATTAGAAGGCAATTTCATCATGAAAAGATAAAATTCATATCAGTATTTTCAAGGATTAACGCAAAAGAAATTCAGTAGTGCAATGGCTGCAATGACATTAACCAAAGTTGTTTGTAGCATTTCCAACCCAAAACAGAGAATTAAATATCAGGGAAGGCAAACTGATCATGAAAAGATAAATTTATATCAGTATTTTCAAGGATTTGCAAATGGGAAATTCAGTGGTGCAATGGTTGCAACAATAATAACCCAAGTTATCTGTAGCATTTTCAACCAAAGCAAAAAATAAAATATTAGGAAAGATTTGCAGGCAATTTCATTGTGAAAAGATAAATTTATATATTGTTTTCCGAGGATTTACACAAATGAAAATCGGTGATGCAATGATAACCACAAAGCCTCACTGAAACACTGATCTATATATGTCTCTCTTCATTTAGCGCAGCATGGGAAAAAATTCCAGTTTTCCTCCTTAAAACAACACACCTCGTAAAAAATACTCGACACATCACAAAAATAAATATCCCCAGGCTATGGATTTATTTCATTAATAAAAAAAATTCTGTAGGGGATCTGCTCATAAATAAATGTGATTAGTATATTGTGTTAATTTGATTCATTGATTTGGATGTGTTCATGGCCACTGAGGAACCTTATTTTCTTCCAAACCCCTGACAGATTGCAATAAAGCTGTCCATTCTACCTCTCAATTCAATAAATGATAAAGCGTTGATATAAAACATCATTACCCTGAACCATGCTGCCTGTTAGTTAAGCTTGGTGTAAATAAATGTATATATATGGATATATTTTTGGGTTAAGAATTACCCATATATATAGAAAAAGAGCATTATAAGTACCTGTTTTGGCTTTAAGAAGGAAAAAGAAGGAAAAGGAAAGTGATGAGAGGAAAAAAAGCAAAATTTATGAATTTTCCAATAAGAAAAATGTATATACAGTATACAGGGAAATAATTGCTCCATTTCATTTTTGCCCCTTTTATCCTACTCACAGATGTACGGAAGCCCATTTAGGAGCTATCAAAAAATATTTTTGAATTCGTTATAACGATTTTTAGAATTTGTTATAACGAATTTAATTTGTTATAACAGATTCATTGAATTTGTTATAACGAATTTAATTTGTTATTACAGATTTGTTGAATTCTTTATAAAGAATTTAATCTGTTATTACAGATTTGTTGAATTCGTTATAACCATGCAAATTCTTGAATTGGTTATAAAGAATTTAATCTGTTAATAAATCTGTTATAACCAAATTCTTGAATAGGTTATAACGAATTCAACAAATCTGTAATAACAGTGAGATTAAATTCGTTATAACGAATTCTAATAAATCTTTTATAACAGATTGAATTCGTTATAACGAATTCTAAAAATCGTTATAACAAATTCAAAAATATTTTTTGATAGGTCCTAAATGGGCTTCCGTACAGATAGGGAAATTTAAAATGGAGCAAATTCAAAGAACACAGCAACATTTCTTAAACAGAATTGTGCCTGATGAATTTTAAATGGGAAAAAATCATTTGCAAGGGAGAAATGGCGAAATTAACATGGGGCAAAAATAATCCTGTATAAAGTATAAGAATGCCTTTAATTATTTCATGCTTGAAACATACAAGGAAAAGCATAGTGAAGAAATAATTTGTAGGTTTAACAAGGAAAGACAGAAATTGTGTAGGTAAATATTGAAAAGAAATTCTTCAAAAGGGTATACTTTTAGGAGTTCCAATATTTACAAATGTCAGCGAGAACTTTCAAAGGATTTCAAACACAAGTGTATGTTCATATTGGATAAGACATTTTTTTAAAACCTTAAGAATTCAACAATAAATTATCAAAATTATACATTCGATTTATGATGTGCAATAATTTATTATAAAGAGTGAGCCTTGTAGTACAAGACAATCAAGTTTTCACTCAATGAACAAGTGGGCTATATGTAATTACCTCAAATAAATAATGGCAATGGAAGATTCCTAAGGATTTGATTTTTTTTAGTGGAAAAAAAAGCAGTATTTGTAGGAAGAGTCATAATACATTAGAGAACAAAGATTACATTCAATACACAAATAATACCCCCTTCCCATTTTTAATCTAACTAAATGACACAGAAAAAGAAGCTATTTTTTTAGTGTCTTATTACAATTTAATAATGACAATATAGTGCAAAAAAGATAATCCAGAGTTTAAAAATTTTTTCAAACAGATGATTTTTTTTAATATATGAACACCATTGTTTAAACAATACCAAAGTCTACCTCTTTTGTAATAAGAATCAATTGCTGGAAATCTTGATTTTAAAACAAGAGGAAATAAGGCCGCAAAGCTCACTTTCCCCTTGCTGAAATGGGAATGCTAAGTTACGCTAGTGATATGATCTAGCTAAAATTTGAAATGCCAGTTCATATTGAATAAAAAAATTATTTATAAGCTACTCTTGAACGAGGCCTTACACCTCATTTCCATATATAATCTTAAATGTTTAAACCCACATATCACACAAATATAGCCCAGTGGCTCTTGAGAAATTGTTGATAATTTGAAAGGTTATTCCCTCAAGTCTTTGGCCAAGGTGAGCTAAAAAGTTCATCTCCATTATAAAGATATGTCAGACGTGAAAATTGATTTTAAGTATATGTGTTTAGACTTACAAAAAGTAATGCATTTATTGATAGGGTAACAGATTTTTGCCTGCTCACCGATTTCTGCTCAGTTTTTTTGCAAGATCCGTAAAAAAAAAGAAATCCTAATATTTACATTGACAACGGCAACATGCATGACATCTGGACTTCCTGTCACAACAATAATTACATTACAGCTGTTACAATAACGGATTTATCCACCCATCACAATATAAACACGACTGTTACAGGGGTCAAGGGAAGACAACACAGGAAGACGTAACGGAGAAAGGCCCCGGAGAAAACAAAGCATGCCAGAATAGACACTTACAATCTTTGGTTTATAGGGGGGCTGAACCTCCCGCAGTTCTATCTTTTCCCAGTTGATTCTCTTGAAGAAGGCATGATCTTTGATATCTCTCTCTGCATTAGGTCCACATCCTAACCTCTTAGTTGGATTTTTTGTTAAGAGCTAAATAGAAAAATATGCCATGTAAATGTAGAATACTTTACATGTATATTAAATCAACCACTTGGGGCATCTTCTAATTTTTGTACTTGATTATTTAAAAATGTATGCTAGCCATTAGTGCTGTGCGATATTACCGGTTAACCGGTGTATCCCGATTTTGTTCTTCACAATACGTATCGCGGTATTATTTTGTGAATACCGGTTCGGGTTCGATATCCTATAAATTGTTACAAAAAGAGTTATTTGCCCCTTTCAAGGTAAAATATGGCGGCAAGCAACGTGAAGTTTGATCGGAAACCAGAGACATGTCTATCAGAAATGAAAAGACGACAACTGTTACATGAAAGCCCTTCATGTTAAAGCAGAATCTGAATATTACATTTTGATTCTTAAAGTTGTGCCACAAAAACTTAGCTTGCTACTTGCGTACACACAACGCGATCAGGCAGTTGTAATATCAACTCGAGAATACATGGAATTTGAGTTTTTGTTTTCTTTTAACATTGATGAAAAGCAAAATTTATTAAAAATTTTATATTGTGATATATTGCAATACAAAATATAATATTGCAATATATCGCGATACGATTTTTCAGCCGCGATACCCAGCTCTACTAGCCATTACAAACTTGCTTGTTAGCCATCATTCTCTTTGCAAAATGAATATACCCATGTCAATCATCACCCCCTATAAAAGTGTTCTTGTTGCAATTGTCTTCAGAAGATAACCATATCCTACATGAGTTAAACTTTACAAAGTTATGATATTATGGGTATGTTCTTACTGCTTTACACAGGGACACAGCTTCTTTAGACATAGACTTGGGGTAGGAGACGTTGTGATCTGTTATGGAAGCAAACAATTCCTCTTCATCTTCTCCATCAAATGGTGGCTACAACATAAATAATCCATAAGGTTAAAATAAGATCAACTTTTGGCCTAGCTACCTTCTCTATATTAATGCACATTGGATATTTCATGAAATATTTAAATACACTCATTTTATCTTCCTTATTTTTTTTTATATTGATAAACACCGCTCTAAGTAGAAACAACATGACTGCCTTATATTATGTTCTTGATGTCCTATCCTAGTATCCTATAATTGTGTGACCCTAACAATATCTAAAATACATACACTCAATGGTTCTAAAAGCCATCATCTTTATTGCTTCACAGTAACTCTGTATACTAGACAAACTTTATATTTTCCAAATTGTATACAAAATACAAAGCATAATCTACAATTTTTCTAAGTGCTACCTTGTGACAACTAGGAACGGGGAACGGTCATCCTTCTACAGACTGGTACAAAAACAATAAAATAAATCCTAATTGTACCAGTATTTATACATGTCATCCGATCACCTACATCCATTAAACCAGTGTATTCAAACAAGAATCAAATAACAAATTAACAGTTCACCATTGAGTAAGTTATCAATTTATAATCAAAGAAACTTTTCTCACTTAAAGTGCTTCAAACTTTAAACATTTTTGCCTTGAAGGTATTGAAATATACTAAAATTTTATTGTTATAGACAATGAAAAAAAACTGAATTTCCTGCCAAAATGACTGTCTTCTTCTACACAAACTTTTCACTCCTTTTGATGAATGGAAGAGCTTGCAATTCAGTTTGGCCTAAGACATTGTAGTTACAAGAGTACAAGTATTTGTCAATACTGTATACAAAGGTTTTTCCTTTTTTTTTTTTTTGCCCCATCAACCCTCGTCTCAAGAAGATGAATTTAATTCTAAGTTAAGACTGAGCAAATTAAAAGATAGCAATATATCTTGAACACAACTGTATCTATAGGCAAAATAAAACTGGGAAAATTGTTTTCAAATGAGAAAGGGTGAGAATAAGAAGATGGGGTCCAAATAAGCCAGTTTACAGTAGTATGTGAAAACCATACCTGTCCTGCCAACATTTCATACAGAAGCACTCCATAGGCCCACCAATCCACTGACTTCCCATATGGCTGATACAGCACAATCTGGAAAAAAAATCGCAAATACAAATTTATGTTTTAATCAGTAAGGAGAAAATACATGAAAGGTTTACTGAAACACTATTTGAGGTCTTACATGATTATAATGCACATACTAAAATGTTAGTTATATTTTGACGATTAATAGTTTTCATACTTTGGCAATTACTGATTTTCGTACTTTGACGATTAAACTTTATACCAAGGAATTAATACACTTACAAAGCTATACCTCTGACAAAAATTTAAGTCACTGAAGAACTGACAAGGAATTTATTCAATTAGCACATGATAAGGATCAAGGAAAAAGATTTGGGTTATACGATGTATCCAACATTACGCTCATTTTGGTAAAAGCTTCCCACAAGGGGGTAAATGCTAGGATTTGTATATATATATAAATATATAAACCTTTTAAGACTTCAAATAACAGAAGAGGATTGTAACGTTAGAGAGGGTCATTTACTGAAGCAATTACAGCAATGTGTTTTATGATCCTCCTTTGTTGTGTAGGGGAATAACATAAATGTTCCATTTTTATAGCACTGTAGTCTGAAGACCACAAATATTTTATCTAGAACTTTCTGTTAGGACCCTGTGTTTGAGACTAAGCAGCAGAAAAGCTGGGTCACAGAGAAGTGGGACAATGGCCTGTATATAATTTGTTTGAAGGATGGTACCTCAGGGGCGATGTAGTCTGGAGTACCACAGAAAGTCCTGGTGGTTTTGTCATTGAAAATGCCTTCCTTACACATTCCAAAGTCGGCAATCTTTATATGGCCGTCCGAATCAAGCATCACATTGTCTAATTTAAGATCTCTGTAATACAAAAAATTCATTTTAAATCACCATTTTTGTTTAAATTTTTTTCCTTATTTTTTATTTTTTGATTTTCAATGATTCTAAATCAATTTTATTCCATTTAACTGTAGTCAAGTCTATATTAAGTAAATGAATATGTTCTGTGTGCAGTAACTTTATAAGAATTGTCAAGCAAATATACTTTCAGTTTGGGTGACTACTTATCATTAAGAAATCTGAAGAAAAAAATCCATCATATCAAACCTATATACTGTTCCTTGACTATGTAGATAGAACAATCCTATCGCTATTTCAGCTGCATAAAAGCTATAAAAAGAAGAAAGGAAATAATAAAACATAACCATAAAAATATAGACAAAGATCATTATCAAGAAAGACAATAAAAGGATTTCAAAGAGATATAATACTGAGGCACTTTCGGGGTAAAATCTATCTTACACAGCCACTGGTTCTTTAAATTTTCCTTCCTGCTGAATTCTGTACATGAGATCTCCACCATTGACATACTCCATGACAAAGTAGAGACGATCCTGTTAAAGTGATTGAGAACAACACTTAAGACTGCAAGAACAAGTACTGCTTACACAGCAAACAGCTTAATATTGTCCTTGTTGTTCAGGGTTGGTTATTTTTTTGCAATTCTTCAAGTCTGACACAAATTCAAAATGACAAAGGAAAAATTCTTTGGATGAAAACATACATGTTTTTTAACATATACATGTAAGTTCTTCTACAAAGAATTTCTAAAGAGAACCTATTAAGATTTTTTTCTTTCTAAAAGTGCAGACAAAAATGCAACATTACATCAAACATCAAAAGTACCAATATCCCTTACAGGGCAACTAAAAAAAGAACTGAATCTTGTGGAAATGTAAAAACGGGTTCCTGGTTTTTAGTCAAGAGCAGCTTAATATAAGACCACCCAAGGTTCAAGAATCAAATGTCAAGGTCAAAACTTCTCACTCAGGTGACCTTACACCAACAACTATGGTACAAAATAATGAAAAACTCTTGGAAACAATCACCTCTTTGCCAATAATCATCTGTGTATCAAATATTACCTACTGATGATTATCATGTCTTTTAGAGTTGTATATTTTTCATATTTTCCAAATTTGACACTTCAGTCATGATCTTGTCAGAATGACCTTGGACAATGATAAGGTCATGTTATATCCTATAACCATAATGGACTCTTGGGTCAAAAGCTATTTTTGTGCCAAATATGTTTCACACATTTTTTTTTTCTGCGAAACTATAGCTTTGAGCTTGTCTAGCTAGCCTATCAATTGAGAACTTTTGCTTACAAAGGAATTTGAAAAATTCTTTAACAAATCGTTAATTCCTGATGATTTTTTAATTTTCAAAATATCTATAGTGATGGCCAATACCCTGGTCAAGACAACAGGAGGGGGAATTAAAATCAATTCAATTTTAAATTTTTAACAAAAGGCCCATGGGCCACATCGCTCATCTGAGAAGCTTTGACCATGTGATTTTTAATCAGATTTCCCCCTTGTAATACCTATTATGACCCCATTTGTACCCCAAGGGTCTTAATTTAGACAATTCAAATTCCCTACTGTGGCCCCGCCTAACCCCTGGGGGTCATGATTTGAACAATTTAGAATCTACACTACCCAACGATGCTTCCACTTAAGTTTCAGCTTTTCTGGCCCAGTGGTTCTTGAAAAGAAGATTTTTCCTATATATTTCTATGTAAAACTTTGATTCCCCATTGTGGCCCCGCCCAACCCCCGGGGTCATGATTTGAACAATTTAGAATCTACACTACCCCAGGATGCTTCCATGTGAGTTTCAGCTATTCTGGCCCAGTGGTTCTTGAGAAGAAGATTTTTTTTAATGATTTTTCCTACATATTTCTAAGTAAAACTTTGATTCCCAATTGTGGCCCTGCCCAACCTCCAAGGGTCATGATTTGAATAATTTAGAATCTACACTACCCCAGGATGCTTCCATATAAGTTTCAGCTTTTCTTGCCCAGTGGTTCTTGAGAAGAAGATTTTGAAAGATTTTTCCTAAAAATTTTTATGTAAAACTTTGATTTCCCATTGTGGCCCTGCCAACCCCCGGGGGTCATGATTTGAACAATTTAGAATCTACACTACCCCAGGATGCTTCCACATAAGTTTCAGCTATTCTGGTCCAGTAGTTCTTGAGAAAAAGATTTTGAAAGATTTTTCCTATATATTTCTATGTAAAACTTTGATTCCCAATTGTGGCCCCGCCCAACACCCAGGGGTCATGATTTGAACAATTTAGAATCTACACTACCCAAGAATGCTTCCATAAAAGTTTCTGCTATTTTGGCCCAGTGGTTCTTGAGAAGATTTTGAAAGATTTTTCCTATATATTTTTATGTAAAACTTTGATTCCCTATTGCGACCCCGCCCAACGACAGACAAAATGTGATCAGAAAAGCTCTCTTGAGCCTTTGGATCAGGTGAGCTAAAAAGTCTTCTTTTCACATGGATGCTTCATACCCATAACGATGGAAGAAATTTATTACCTCAAATCATTAAACTTTTAACCCTACCCCTAACCATTCTCATCAATACTTGACTAAATTCATCTTCTTATCGCAGGCAGTCTGGATCAATTTAACATTTCCAAGACTGCAGACAAACATTGTAAACACCATGAATTAACAATGAACTTGCAGACGCTTCGGTCTAAGGACACTGACATTTTACAAATATCAGTGAACTAATTGTCTTAGTCTGGAAGTTCATCTCTACGAAGACCATTTCTGAGACCGATCCCTTACCATGGTTTGAAAGCATGAATGTAATTGGACAAGGAATGGTGGTTTGTTGGGGAGAGCTAGGACCCGTTTTTCGATCATCGTACACTCCACATCGTCATCCTGTATGATCACGTCTTTCTTTAAGATTTTAATGGCGTACAACTCTTCCGTTCCCTTCATCTCTGCTAGGACAACCTGATTTTTGGAAAGAAAAAAAATGATTACTGTAAAAATTTCCATTTTTTTATCCTTACGTATATCTGTCCCAATCAATTCCTAATACATTGCATAACACCTACGTAAAAAATATCTGAACACTGTTCAAATTGTTCCTATGTAATTAATATGTAAATTAATTTTTAATTTGCATACTATAATAATGACCATCCCTTGCACAATTGATTGATTACCATATATATATATATATGAAATCTAGTTCCATTACTTAAGTATTTTAACACAAATGGTGACTATTTACCCATAGCAAAACTTATTTAACTAAAACTTCAAGCTTTTTTTTTTAATGATCAAAAATCGAGATTAATATCACTCTGGTTAATTTCACATCAGTCATGGCCTTTTCAGAAACGCTGTGTTATCAAGACACACACTAGGAAATTGACCCTTTAAGATGTGCTCCCTTCCCACAACTGAAAGATCAATAAAGCCACATGTTGGTCACTGTGTTATTTTGTTTTCCTTGATCTCATCCATTGCAATATTAACAGCAATTTTATTCACCTTCTAATCCATCTTCCTTGCCTAATGACCCCAAAATGCTTTTAATATTTTGATAAATCAAATTGTTTCTCATTTCAATTTAATTCATTGCCGCAAAGAATAATTTTTTTTTGTACAAGCTGTAGGTACTTTTACACAAAGCATTGTTACAGTCTATACAATTATAGATTTTGATATGTATTAAATTAATCAATTTGAATGCACACAGCAGATGGTGCCATCATTTCTTTCTCTCTTAATTGATTCTGCACAAATAAGGTATAAAATGTAGTCGTGGTTTGATTTATTAGAATTTTCCCTGTAGCCCATCATGTGTCAATATACGTTAAATGCATGACTGCGTGGCGGGGTTAGTTCGGCACAACTAGAGAGCGTTACACAACCAAGTGAGAAGCACAATAAATGCAATCTAAAATTGATTCAATGGAACTAAAAATCATTATCATCCCAAAATGTGCGAAGTCACATTGTAAGCAGATGATTATTTACCACTGCTGGAGATGCTAGGAAATCCAGAGAAACTGATATACGAAATACACCGTTAGGATAATGATATTGGAAGTGTCTTGTATTTCACACACCAAAATAGCTGCATCAAACTATTCCGAGGATAGGAAAATTCAAAACCAGAATCTCATTTCCGATATTGAATAATATTTTACATATTTTGTTTCTTTTTTTTACTGAAGTGCATACTTATCTTCCCAAAATTACACCAGATTTTAAATGTCATAAATATTTTTCTACTGCTTACGAATATATTTCATAACAGATAATAATCCATTCCTAAGAATAACATACAATTACATAGTAGCATATTAAGAGAACTTATACAATGACAACTTTGCTTCTATTTAGGGATGACAAAACCATGTTCATTTCCAGCTTTACGTAGACAGAAATAAAGTGGGACAGCAATATGCTCATTATTTGATTACCACAATGCTGTGTTTGTATCACAGATGGACAGCTGTCAATTGTGTTCATAATCAGTGATTTTTATGATTTCAAATACTATCTACAGTAGCATTCACTTTCAGTTTCTGTGTTTATTTCCTCTATCAAGGGTCATCAGAAACAAATCTACACACTGTTAAGTTCTATAGTGGTAGACATTTACGAAAAAAGTGTGAAAATCAAAATGTTCACTTCCAGTCAATAAACTATTTTATGGCAGTTTCTTCTTTTTTATAAAGATAAATCATAAACATGTGTATCTGAAATCTTCAAACCCTTATATTCTATTGTGGCAGTCAAAAAATTGCCATTTAAAAAGAACCTGTGAAAAATCAAAGTTATATTTCTATTTAATTCATATCTGCCTCATGGTGGCTAAATATCCTGACCATTACAATTGATGTGAACACCTTATAAATTGAGTCATTACTCCTGTTTCATGAAAATTTCTCCTGAAGATGGAGGCCAATATTTTTCAGTTTTTTCTCCCAACATTTCAAATAGCTGGCACATCATTTAATTCAAAATGTCCAAGACTATGCTGAAAACACTGGGTGTTTCTATCCTATGCATTATTTGATCATGAACTGAGCTTGCTTTTAAATTTGTTAATTGCTGAATTGTACCCAAATCCATTATTTTTGGATACAAGAGGAGTGCCTAATCTAGTGTGTGATTAATGTCTGACACTAAGAAAAATTCACAATAAAATTTCTTTCTCTTCAGTAGATTCAGTTTTTATAACATTGATTTTCAAAAAAATAAAAGAGAAGTATATTATTAATCTTCTTTCCAGCTCCAAGCCCACATACGTATATGTGTGGAAAATGATATTGTTCTTGTAAGCTTATGTAAAACAATACATGTGAAAGAGAATAATCTGACCTAAAGAGCTATGTATAGTAAAACTTGGTTATAACGAAGTCACTAGGACCTATGAAATTACTTCACTATATCTGTTATTTGTTGAATCCGTGTAGGGAATTCATTAAATTTATATACTAGGGACACGAGTTAACTTCGCTATATCCATGAATTTGAGATATCTGTGTTTGTACAAAACAAGTTTTACTGTATACCTTTCCAAAACTGCCTTTTCCTAGAACTGTCAGGAAATTAAAGTCCGTTGCTCGAACTGTGTCCTGTTTGCTGCCAGTTCCCCGAGACACATCAATTGGTTGAGGTGGTGGTTTCTAATATGGAAAAGAAGTCATATGTATATTTGACGATAATTAAGACATATGGTTACAGTGACAAACTTATAATACCAAATTCATACAGTAAATTTTTTTTTATTCCATGGTTTAAAATGTGTTATTAACTTATCAGATACAATGAATTATGTTTATAATGAGTCAAAATTGTCCTCCCTGGCACTTTGTAAAATGCAAGTTTTACTTGCACAGATTTATAAATACTAATCATGACTTAAATTGACAAGACGCTTTATAAGTTTTTTTTTAATTAATTTACTCAGAGCCCACACGTTACAATTAGCATATGGCTGTTATGTAATATTAGCCTGATTTTGATTTCAACTAAGGAGAAAATTGGCACAAATTTTAGTATAACCACAAAAAAAAATTTGTAAATTCAATTTTCTTCACTTGTTCTGAAATATTGTTATAAGGCAATAAAATACATGTATATTTATGAAATGAGATATATTTTTGTCAATATTTTCATATATAAAGCTGTTATAACATACAGATTTGAAATCATCAAGAGATATGAAAAAAAGAATTTTTAGTCACAAGTAGAAACAGTGTACATTAGAAACATATATATTCAATATTGTGTCAACAGCTTTAAGGTTAGAGATACATGTACAGTGTACTATATACTATAAGTGTAAGTACTACAGGTTTTTATCTATACATGTGTACAACGGCAACTGGTTTTGTGTAATAACGTGTACCTGGAAAGCTGCAGGTAACTGAAAAGAAATTAGTTTCCAGACTTCACTACAAAATCCAAGGTCATTGCAACAGTAATAGTATATGGGTCATTTTCTATGAAAACCTTATTCTAATGAATAAGTAGAATTTTTAGCGAGGATTTAATTTTGACATTATTAGCGAGGGTGTCGAGATCGCTAAAATTGAATATCGCTAAAAATTAATTGCATTTTATTTGTAACAGTTTCTTTAATGTGCATTTTAAAATCGCTAAATTTGTGTCTCGCTAAAATTTCCACTTATACGGTAGGTACAAAGGTAGATTTTTGTTAAAACCACATTTTATTGTACTTGAACTATGGAGTTCTTGAACTTGTGATTTGAAAAAAAAAAGAACTTCAGTTTGGTTCCCTTGTATCTATTTAGCAGACTGAAATTACTTTTTTCACAGATTAAAATTTAAGTCACTAATATACAAAATCCAAATAACAAAATTTGCATATACATGTATGTTTTATGCAGGTTCTTATACAAATAAGCTTGGAAAAATCACATCTGCATTCTTTTTGGCAGCTTTTAATGTCTTTGGCATATGAGTAATTATAAGAAAGCACTTGCCATTTGTTGTGTGTGTTTGAGTCATTTTGACCTTATTTTCTTGAAAAATTGCAAATTTGCTAGATATTTTTTTTCCCAAAAGAACCTACCGGTAAAGTTTTCCTAAGGTCATTAATGGTGGCTATTGCATCATCGGTCACAGGGATGCCATAAAATTCTCCCTCCTCCTGGCTCAGGAGTTTGAACCAGCCGTCTTGGTTTTCCTTCAGAAGTTCTGAGATGCCGAAAGACAGTGAGCCCATGAAGTCATTCCTGGACGTTCTGTCCCAATCCCAGACCTCCACAGAAAGCCGCTTGGAATGGTCGTCAGGGGAAAGGTCACTGAAATTTGAGAGGTTTAAAGTCATACATATTCAATGATACCTCAGGAATGTATTATGCTTATTGTAAAAGAAATTATAAATTTTGATTCCATATCCTGTCCCATCACATATTTTCATAGGATCAAATTTTCAAGGTTTGAGGAAAAATATTCCTTATTTGTTTATGGGGACTATATAGATTTCAAGGCTGGAGAATATTCAGTGGTAATTCAAATAGAATTTTAAATTTCACAGTGGTCATAAATTTGTGGGTCTCTCCATCCCTTGAAAACTATGAAAATTAAACCCTAGGAAAATTAATGATTTCACAGTTTTTTTAAAGAACTATGCATTTGTTTGTGGCATATACCTTTGTAATGAATTAAAAAATTTCTCTGTATACAGTATCAAGTAATATTTAGAATTCACAATGTGTGAAATTTTGCCAACCATCTCTATTTTTAGTTTGTTACAAGTGGTTTTTCTTTTGAGATCAGCAAGTTTTCATATGCAACTATAATTATATCAGTTTGAAATGTTTTGTATGCATTGTACTCAAAAGCATTCTATACGAAAATTGTTTAATCATACCCATGTGTTCATTATCACAGCAATTACTGTGTTATTTTTCTATGTATCATAAAAATTGCCCTGATCAATGTGGTTAAATGCGAAAAAAAATATGCAAAGTTTTCTTAAGAATAAGTTCAAAGAACTGCGATACTTTATTTTTTTCATACTAACACATAATTTAATTATCATGTCTGTCAAGAATGCATTATCCAAGAGGTGCAGAAGAAACATGTTGCCTTGGAAAGGCTTTTGACAATCCATCCCATTATCTGTCTTGTATTTAACTCGTTCATTAACAACTCTCAAGTGCACTTCTCGTCTTGAAGGTTTCAAGGCTCTCATACACTTTGCATCACAACACTGCATCAAGTCCCCATCAAAGCATCTTCACAGGAAAAATGAAGGATTGATGATGCTTCTCGGAATTAAGGCTTAGGAATTAGGGCTTAATTCTTACAACTTTCCAGACTATATGAGAAGTCGGCCTCCCCCACCTTATAGCTTTGAAAATCAAGATAAATGCTTTATGGGAGAAAGAGCGTCTTATTAAAGAGTCTTTAGCCATTATCACGAAAACAAAAGAAATATGGAACCGTGGAAATGTCTCCTTTAATTGCATAAAATGTGACAAAGAAAAAGGAGCGTGGGTGTTGACTTCATAAACTTTCTGAGACAATAAATGGCAAGGGTATAATGGATTTAAGTGCAGAGAAAACTTAAACTTTGCTTTAATATTTGAATTTAAATAATTGAATTTAGGTCTTTTTCAACTAATTACGTGATTTAAATCAACTAGAATCGTATCAAAAAAGTGAAGAAAGTGAAAATGAAATTTGTTTAATATCCAATTTCTCAGTGGAAAATGAACAATTAACCATAATTTGGGTAGATTATCTTCACTTTAAGTAAAGTTAGACATTATCTTAGATGTTTCTTATATTTATTTTTATATTCAAACGATTTTATGAAGTTAAAATATGACATTATAATTATCATAAAGTAAACACCAAAATAACCGCCCCCTTTTTGCAATTTTCGAAGCGCCCGGGGCGGTTAATAGGGATTATACGGTACTGTTTATAAAACAGAGAAACCCAGCTAAAAATAGAATGATCAATGACCAATGGCTCGCACTGCCTGGTGCACGTATACTTACTTCCAAACAAACCTATCGCTGAAACAACAGATTACATTGCATCTTAGCCACTGGGCAAGATAGGATTTAGCATTTTACTCTGATAATAAAAAAAATCCTCTAACAATGCTGGGGGAAAATCCTGGAAAAGTTTGTCTTGCCATGCAAGTTGATCACCTCCTCTGATACTCAGTGACTGGCTTTTTTCCTGACCCCGACCATCAGTTAGTGTAAACTAGTCACCAAGATGGACGGTTTTGTGCCCGATTGCTCATCTAATACCCCTTCAGATTTGATTGAAGCATGTTTAATGTTGTGTGGGGTCACCATTCAGCCATTAATTATGATTTACCATTAAATCCTCTTTCTCACAGTGGAAATGAACTTACAATGTGAAAGTTTCGTTCCACACTGGATTTAAGGTGGCTTTGATGGTCTTGGTTTTCTTTTTCGTTTTGTTATTGTCATCTGGAATAAGTTTCACTTTAACATAGGGGTCTGCTAGTCCATTTGGATCCATGGGTATTAGGTTTTTTCCTTCTATAACTGAAAAAGAATTTTGAGGTTAATATTACGAAAGTTACATTGATCTTACTTGGCAAATTACATTGAGAACTTTCCAAGTATAATTCATCACTTGTGAATTTAGTCAAAAGTCAATATCCTTAATTTTGAAGAATTTGAGAACTGAAATAAATGGAAAAAAACTACTTTATAACCTTAGTATCTATTTACTTATTGAAATAACTGACTTGCTAAGACTAATGTAAACCAACTATTATTTGTATCACCTTTTCTTTACGATTTGTCAGTTAGCAATCATTCTGCGATGATTAATTTTCATGACTGAGGAAACATTCTCTATATACCAATATAAAGCAAAAAAAAGGGTTCACGGTGATATATATTTGTGACCTGAAGTAGGTCGCGAAACTCGGGATATATTTCTCGCACGCAAATAAAATTTGGTTTACAGTATATGAACTGCTGGCTAATAAATCTCTTTGTCTAGTCATGTTTGGAAATGTTGCAAAATTGAGCTTGTTGTTTTAGAATCATATAAGATTAGCTTATGGTTACTGTGCTCAAGTGAGCTGTGGAAATTTGAGCTGTATTAGTTTTGACTCTCATATGACTAGCTTGGTGGTAGATGTAATTTTGACCTTTTTTTGTACTTTGTACAACTAGCTTGGTGGTAGTTGACAATGTTTGAAATTCATTCATTTTGACTTAGTTCAAAAAACAGCTGGATGGTAGAAATGGTAATTTACACCTTTCATATATCTGACTTACTTTTTATAATTAGCTTAATGGTAATTTTGAGTTTATTTGACTTACTTTCTCATAATAACTCGTGGTGTACATTGTGGTGGTAATTTTGAGCTTATTTGATTCACTTTGTATAACTAGCTTGGTGAAAGTGGTGGTAATTTTTAGCTTATTTGACTTACTTTGTATAACTTGCTATTAGGAATTGGTGGTAATTTTGAGCTTGACTAATTTTGTATAACTAGCTTTGGTGGAAGTGGTGGTAATTTGAACCTTTGACTTACTTTGATTAACTAGCTTGGTGGAAGTAGTGGTAATTTTGAGCTTTATTTGACTTACTTTGTAAACTAATTTGGTAAGAGATATGGTAATTTTGAGCTTATTTGACTTACTTTGTATAACTAGCTTGGTGGAAGTGGTTGTAATTTGACATTTGATTACTTTGTATAACTAGCTTGGTGGAAGTGGTGGTAATTTTGACCTTTCTTTGACTTACTTTGTATAACTAGCTTGGTGGGAGTTGTGGTAATTTTGAGCTTATTTGACTTACTTTGCTTTGTATAACTAGCTTGGTGGAAGTGGTGGTAATTTTGACATTTGACTTACTTTGTATAACTAGCTTGGTGGAAGTGGTGGTAATTTGAGCTTATTTGACTTACTTTGTATAACTAGCTTGGTGGAAATGGTGGTAATTTTGAGCTTTGACTTACTTTGTATAACTAGCTTGGTGGAAGTGGTGGTAATTTTGAGCTTAATACGGCCTCTCCTCTCTGTGTGATCTATACCACAAAGTTTTGGAACATTCTTCTCACATTTCTTGTGTACATTCATGTCACATGCTGTATAAAAGAACAATTCATTTTCTTTAACAAATATGCATCACATCATCAGATAACAGGTGGTTTTGCTAGATAAATGTGTGTTGTTTTTTTAACATCAATTGGAACACTTTCTTTGAATACACAATTTTATTTCTTCAGTTAGAAAAATATTCAGATATATGTATGTGTTCCAATGAAAAATGAAAAAATAGGAAACCAAAATACAAAATCTGATAATTAATCATGATGGTCAAACTCAATCCAAAGATATATACACCTTGTCATTTGAGGACAACCTTCATCAATGCCTTGTGCCTTGCATATCAATAAGAAGCTAGTACTCTCAATACACAGACCTATCATTTTATGAATGAAGAGACATTTAGGTCAAAATTATGAATGGCATTTCCAGTAGAAGACTAATTATCAATTAGTCTCATAAACAGTTGGTGAAAATAGCACTTTACTGGCTCTCTCTTAGTCTATGTGAACCATCTAATAATGTCTAAATCATATTAGCAACCAAGGGAAATAGATAATTATGCTCTATTTTCAGTCCAAGAATCTTTATTAGCAATTTTTCATTGGAACAGCTGCACTAAAGCAAAGGTAATTCTTCATTCTGGATGCTGATAATGGACACTTGAAGCCAAACACAAGGTTTCTAGGTCAATTTGACAAATCTGTTATTATCCTGATCTATTTATCCTATACAACTTATAGAATATGATTGATGTGATAAATTTTGTTGCAATTTCTCATATCTAATTAAAAGCTTTCACTTAAAATCTTCTCCCAGTGAACAAACTGATCTTCAAAGAATACAGTAATGTACAAAGGCGTTAGAAACAAACTGAAAGTTTGGTGGAAAATTGAAAGTAGGGGGAAGGCTGCACAAACAAACAATTCAGGGTTTAAGCTCCAATATTTTCAATGCCTGTATTATGTCTATCTTTGCTAAAAAGTGTGTGTGTGTGTGTGTGTGGAAGGGGGAGAGGGGCTAAAGCTCCCCAACTCTCCTGGTCTCCAATCCCTATGTTGTATTCATGGAATTTTTCAACCTCCTTTTTATTTTTGCCCTATTTGCCTTCAAATGAGTGGAATAATTTAAGACAAGGCAGATTCATAGAGGACTTCATTATTTAATTGTACCTTGGGAAATTTAAAAGTTGGCAAATTTATTTTCAAGTGTGGGGGGGGGGACTTACTTAAACATACCAAACAGACAACATTAATTCTAATTCCCATCAAAAGATGATAACCACTGAAACATCTACAGGGATGAAGGGGCATCCTTTTGGAACCCATTGACACTAATGATGACAATATGACATTGATTTAACAGCTTTGGAAACACTTTTTTTTAAAAAGCACCGAGAGACTTTGATAAGAGTAAAATGATTAATGAAGCATCCAGGCAGATAATGATGCTGAATGCAGAATACCTATTGCAAAATTAATGTAATTGATTTGTCATCAACTCCAGCATTTCCTGTTTTAACACAAATATCTTTAATTACTTGTCAATTATTCATCAGGAGGCAGTGTGGATAATGAGTCTTCTACAACAGAACTTGGTGTTTTATTTCCAATATCAATTAACCAACCAGAGATCCTTGAAATTTTTGTCAATAAATACCAAGTCCTCTTGATATCACACCCCAATAAAAGATTTTAATGTATCAATAGTCGAACTGGGGATTCCCAAACAATGGAAACTAGAAAACATTTGCTTTCATTGATTGATGAAAGATTCAACTGATAATATTGTCTACTCAATTTAATTTTCATGGGATTGTTATGAAAGACCATAATTTTTAAAAATTAAAAAAATAGTATGTCTAAAATCCTAATTGCCATCAAACTGTGTCAGGGTATTGCAATGTGATATTACTGATGCTTATCTCCTTTTGTATGTATAAAGTTGCATATGGATGGTCATGCAATGCGATCATGAGATTTCATCAAAACTTCATTTTTTGGACTCTTTAACACTTACAGTGCAGAAGAGTTCAAAAAGAGTTACCATAATATCTGACAAAAGCCCTTCAAGTCAAATTTTTATTTTATAACCATGACCTTGATTCCAGGTAAAAGGTAAAGCTGTAAAATTGGGTACTATAAATTAAACCTCAAAATCATCAAGATTTAATGTTAAAGTGGACCCTCAGATATCTGGATGTCAGATATCAAAAAGCATTTTTTTTGTGTGTGAATGGAATTTCATTAGTTTATTTGGATTTCTGCAATCAGTGATCTGAAGGGTTAACCCCCCCTCCCCTTTTTTCTGATTTTACACTAGCTTCAGTTGTGCAAAGATTCATTCAAGATTGCATAACAGGCCCATAGGCCAAAATTTTCCCCCTATATATTCCTATGTAAAACTTCGATCACCTATTGAAGCACCTGACCTACATCAAGGTTGATGATTTGAACAAACTCTATTATACACTACCTGAAGAATTGCTTCCATATCTCTATGACAAATCATGATTTAGCAGTAAATAGATTTTTTGAAAATATATTTTTATGTAAAAGTTCACCAAATGAAATCCTCTTTCACCCCATGATAAGATTTGGAATCTTCAATATGTGATGAAACTTTCAAATAAGTTTCAACTTTATTTGTTCTTTGGTTTTTGAGAAGAAGACTTTAAAAGACTTTTCCCCTTCATAAATAGCCCTTCAATTTATCAAATGAATCCCCTTCCCCCAAAATTAAACTAGAACTGTCCAAACGGGACAAAATACCCCCCGCTGGGTTTTTCAGAAGTAAGTTTTTTCATAAGAAAGATTTGAACAGGACACGGATTATGAAATTTTTCTTCCAGTGACATTGAACTTCCCCAAATGACCTTGGGTCAAGATTTTACCATTACACCCTTGGTGTCATGTATAATCTTTGTGTGAAATGACAACACCAGAAATTTATCCATTTGTGCAAAGATATACTCTGGATCTTTTGATGAACTTCTTTATGAATTTTTTCTTCCAGTGACCTTTATTTTATGTTCAAACCCAAATGACCATTGGGTCAAGGTCATGACACAAAATTCAAATGCTCAATTTGCAATCTTTGTGTGAAATGAGAACCTACCATAGATTTATCCATAAGAAAGAAATTAAACAGACACAAATTATGAACTTTGTTATCCAATGACCTTGAACTTCCCAAAATGACCTTGGTATGTCAAAGTGATGACACACCCATTCTTCATGGGCAATCTTGAGTGTGAAATGAGAACCTACCAAGTTTATTGATCACAAAATCCAAATGCTAAGATTGAATTTGATTCTTTTTCTCCCTAAAGATGACATCTTAAAGTAAACAAAATATTATGGTTGAAGGTCATGACACACCCTTGATCATGGGCTATCTTTGTGTGAAATGAGAACCTACCAAGTTTATCCATAAGAAAGATATGGACCAGACACGAATTATAAAATTTTTCTTCCAGTGACCTTGAACTTCCCCAAATGACCTTGAGTCAAGGTCATGACACACCCTTCAGTCATGGGCAATCTTTGTGTGAAATGAAAATGACACAAAGTTTATTCATACTGCAAAAGATATGGACTGGACACAGAAAGCTTATTAAATTTTTCTTCCAGTGACATCTAAATCATTAGAGAGATGACCTTGGGTCAGGTCATGACACACCCTTAGGTCATGCAGCTGCAATCTTTGTGTTGACATTGATTAAAATGTTATTAAAAGCTAATGTCCATTAATTCCTGTACGCATGTTTGGTAAATGCATATTTCCTCAATGACTCTTTCCATACCACAGAAATTTTAATTGAATTTTGACCACAAAATTTTTGATCCGTCATTTTAGTTTTTATAATCAAAACACTAATTCTCAACAATTCCATCAAATGTAAAAACTATATTTTCACAATCTTGCACATCTTCGAAATGAACAATTAGATGTTTAACTTTCTTTTTCTTAATTCCAAAACTAGCCAAATGTATTTGTAGTATATGCTGACAAATTTTACACTATACAGACACAATGACACCAAAGTATAATAACATATTCAAAGGAAACACAAGAAATTTATCATTTGTGCAAATTATTTATACTCTGGATCTTTTGATGAACTTCTTTCATTGCTTAAATCTCTGGCAAAAACCATTGCCCTTTATTTTATGTTCTTTGTGTAAACACTTGTGTGCCAACTTATTTTGAAATCAGACCAAAACTGTAGAAGGAGGAGCATTTTAAAGGAATTTCACAAAATTCAAATGCTGCAATTTGAATTTGATCTTTTTCGCCCATAAAAGATGACATCTCAGAATAGATGAAACATTATGGTTGGAAATGAATGAAATAAACTTGATAAACTGAATTACAGTTGAACTTTGCTATCTCAAACTCTGATATCTCGAATATCATGGTATGTCAAAGTGATTTGGAAGTCCCAACCCCCTATTCTTCAAGTGTTTTAAAGGAATTTCACATAAAATCATGGAATTTTTAAAACCATGGATCACAAAATCCAAATGCTAAAAATTTGATGCTTTTTCTTCTAAAGATGACATCTTAGTGTAAACAAAATATTATGTGTGAAAATTATATTGAAATAAACTTGATAAACTGAAGTACAGTTGATCTTTGCTATTTCAGAAAACTCTATTTTTAGTAACCATGGTCAAAGTGATTCATCAAAATCAAAAACCGATGCACTATTCTATGTTCTTTAGTGTTTTACTTGTGTGCCAAGTTATATTGAAATCATGACAAAATATCTCAAAGCATTTCCTGGTTCCTTTGAGTTTGAGATAACAGGGTTTGACTGTTTTTACAGATCTTGCTAATTTAGACACTGAAATTTCATACAGTTGTAGCAACCAAAATGACACAAAGTATGTTATACTGCAAAGAGATCCCAAAGGAAGGACCCTACAGAAAGCTTTTTAGAACCTCTATCTTTACACCTAACATCTAAATCATCAGAGAGATTAACAAGGGCCTTATGCTCCATATCTTTCACTCAGCAGATCTACTGCAGCTGCAACATAAATTAAACTATCTGACATTGATTAAAATGTTATTAAAAGCTATCAGGGGTGGGGGTTTCTTTACATTAATTCCTATACGCATGTTTGGTAAATGCATATTTCCTCAATGACTCTTTCCATACCACAGAAATTTTAATTGAATTTTGACCACAAAATTTTTGATCCGTCATTTTAGTTTTTATAATCAAAACACTAACAATTCTCAACAATTCCATCAAATGTAAACTATATTTTCACAATCTTGCACATCTTCGAAATGAACAATTAGATGTTTAACTTTCTTTTTCTTAATTCCAAAACTAGACAAATGTATTTGTAATATATGCTGACAAATTTTAGACTATACAGACACAATGACACCAAAGTATACATGTACATTAAACAAGAGCTGAAGACAAGGATGGAAACTTAAGTACAAGTAGATGGGTGAAAATTCCATATTCAGAGGACAGTTCAAAAATGAAGTACTCTTCAAACATTTTCCCACACGGAAGTATTTGAGGTTGTATGACCATACTAATAATTTGTCACTAACAACACAAATGAACATATGAAATAATGCTCATGCAGAATAATTTTCATAATTTCTATTTCAAATTAACATGTTAAAATATCATTCCATAATTCATAACTTTTGCATTATTCAAATTTATCACTGAATAAAAATTTTACAAAAAGGGTATACATTTCCACATTTATAATATGTTCTAGTTGCTAAAACAAAGTATAATAAATATGAAGATCCATACAATAAGATATGACGTGTATTTTAATGACTTACCATCACACTTGAGTCCTTGGTGTATAAGTCCATAGAGAAGTGACCCACAATGGTCACAGAATGTAGGGCTTCCATATGTGTGTGTTTTGAATTTATGCAAGTTTGTGGCCTGCAAGATAAAATGAGGTCAAATTACATTTCATAATATTTTCAAAACATTCAAAAATCAAAATTGACCAGAGGAACAAGAATTTCATACTATTTTGTCAGTGACCTTGAACTTGCCAGAATGACCTTGTGTTAAATTTATGACAAACCAATGACATGGTCAGTTATGGCCTGGGCAAAAATTTTATACATTCTGTCATTGACCTTGATGTTCGCTCAAGGTCATGACACACCTTTGGTCCTAAGCAAAACCTGAACCAAGTAGAAGCTTCCAGTGTTTCTCCATAGCCAAGTTATAGCCTGAATGAGATAGACATACAGGTAAGGTGATTCAAATCCTACATACCCCCCAAAATCTTTGTTGGGGGGGGGGGATAAAAACCAAATAAAACTATAAATTCATTGAAATCAGTATTGGCAAATATGCTTAAAATGTTGAACCTTTAATGCAAATCAAACCAAGATTTCAAACACATTCCTTTATTATTAAGCAAACTAAGACCACTCTTTACTCCAAGAGAAATTGGCTCAACTGAAGATAATTTAATTATGATATGAGAGAAGCTGGTCTTTTAAGTGCAAGAGCTTCAGTGACTTTGGTATGTTAAATTTCCTTTCCTAATCAAACAACTACCAATGAGCTTATCACATCAAAAAAGGGAAGTTTTAAACTTAAAATGTATCTTTAAAATCTATGCAGTCTGAACATGAAAAGAAAATTATGCAATCATAATGCATGCATTATATTTCAGACCTATTGAAACACCATACTCTCTAACTCAAATCCCCCAGGTGATTTCTGATATTTTCTGATGTCAACAATGCTTTGCAGATAATTGTATCATCACTCCACAAGGAAAGCTTCCATCATACAAAATGTCCAACAACTGGGACAAAAGTCAATGGATTCAGCCATCAGGAACATTGCTTTTTTCAAAGTTAAATTTGCCAAGGAATATCTATCAATATATTCAGCAAGAAAATGCCCTGAACTGAGTCAGAGAATGTCTGTTCTATATTATAGTTTTTTTGAGACAGGGGCATAATTCACTCAATTACAGCTCTAATCACATGATAAATTGTGATGGGAGGGAAATGACTTCTTCTCCTCCAGTACTGTAATCAATCAAGGTTATCAATCAGGCTGGACCAAAGCTCTGCTGCAATCCAAGAGGCACTGAGTATTATAAACAACAAAGTAGCAAGTAATTCTACAAAGAAGAATCAAAGAGTCACAGCTAGGTACATTACAATACTGGCTTACGATGGTGTCCAACTCTATTCATTTGGGGGGTGGGGTTGGGTGTTGGTTTGAACAGATGTTACAACAAAAGGATTAGACACAAGTTCTTAAAACTTAGAACGTCCTCTCCTTGGTGGAGTGAGTGTTATGATTTAGATTTAAAGAGACCTATAAAGTACATTTGCATTTTTCATGTGTATAGTTTCAAGAATTTCTTCCTTGACTACCCTAAAATATCTGTCTTGGGAAATAAGTCTATGCCAAGGTTGCAACTCTAACCGAAACTGGGAGAAAATAACAGGCTTAATTACTTGAGTCCTGTATACTTTAACGGATGATTTATGCATTATGAATGGTTAATGATAAAATGATAGTCAATAATTGCCTGCAATGGATCTTTATCAGGCAATGGGACTGCTCTGGGTATTAAATAGGTTATTCTTCTGTTTCTTTACAGAGAGATCACCAGAATCAGGATCTACAAACAATGTGTTATTTTGATAAATGATGAAAATGCAACAATACCAGACTGTTCTATGCAATGAATTCTGGAAAAGCATTCTAGACATTTACCAAAACCAAGCAGAAGCAAAGCAAATCAAATGGGCGAACAATCACCAGAATTATACCCTTTTACAATGGGTATTTGATACAAATTGCTTGCATCCTTTTTTCATGAAGATTACAAGATATGGCAATGAGTTATAAATGACATAACCAGAATTATCTTTTTCAGACTTCTTTTTTAACATTACAAGCAAACAACCTCACAAAACAATCTGTTTCATGGATTGTTAAATATTTATGAAGCACTTCATCATAAATTCACCCTTTATCTTTAACCAAAGCTTCCTAGTCCATGTCATCCATAATTAGAACAACAACAAAATCACCTACAACTCCTACTGAATTGTTCTGCAAATAATATTCATGTGCAGATATTTTTGACAACCATCACTATTTTAGAACAAGGTTTTTTTTTCCTTTATCTTCAGTCTAACTTCTGATGGATTCTTTTTTTCACCCAGAATTTCCCACAAGATAAGCATTCTGCAGTAATATTGTTCTACCTTTCATGAGGGAGGAGCTAATTACAGTAGCAGACACCACATGCTGTAAATTTACTCTATCATCTTCTTCTTTCTATGTAAATCTGCTAATCCTAACTACTGGCCATAGAGATACTGCTCTTTTAGCAACTTTGATGTTTCAAAATGAGACACAAAGAAAATGTGCAATTTTCCACATTCTACCTGCCAAAGTCTCATTAGACATTGACTTGAATGATGAGATGAGATTAGCATGTCTCTTCCTTGTAGAATTTATGACCAATGACGTCATAGAAGCCTATGAGAATAAATTTTTTTTCTTGACACTTTTCTTTCATTTTTTTATATCCAGGACACATTCCATGACGTGATGACAGTGTCAGTCAATGACAGAAAATCCTAAGTGTCTAGAAATTTATTTCCCAAGACTCTTGGAACTTTCTGCACTAGGTTTAAAAAAAATTGTGCTTTTCTTCCAAATATTCTCTCTTTTATTAGATGTGAAAATGTACATAATGTCAACGTTCTGTAAACAGCTAATAGCCTAATTTTCAACATTTTATTGTTTAAAATATGTTTGAGAGTTATTTTAATGTCCACAAATATTGAAAAATGCCTACAGCAATCAATGATTGATGTCAGATATTGTTTGATTTTCACCTGAATGCAAAACTAGGAAACTAAACAAACAGACTAGTGTACAATCAATATTGTTGTCATCATTATTATGGATCAAATCTTCATCCTCTCAAGGTATTTAATGAACTTGCAGTTATATCTATATAAATCTCAGTGTAAGAAAGGTGTCAATTCCTTCATGTTCCTATGAATTTTCCATATCTGCTCTTTCCATTGCTTAGTTATTGCAAGTATCTAAGATAAGTCATCCTATTTTCATACATCAGGCATACTGGAGGTGTGAAAAGAGGCCCATAGGCTGCAATGCTCACTACTGCATTGAAAAAGTTAACTCTGGATACCTCAAATCCTTGGATATCTCAGAAGTTTATTCTATGTCCCATTGAATTCAACAAGATTTGACTGTATCTGCTTTTAAACATTTCCTCCATTTTTTTAAAGACTCCACTAATCCTTATTCCAGAAATGATTACTTTCTAGCATCTTAAAAGTTTCCGAATTCCTCAAAACCAAACCCAAAAGATGCATCCATTCTTGTACCCTTCCAAATTCCTTGGTTCACGCTCATATCATTTAGCGAAAACAATGAGAAACTGATTAACGCTGATTACAAAGTCAACTGGAGACTCCTGTACTGCTAATCGGTTGAACATAATACAAAACCCAAACAAACAACCAGAGAGATAACCCTGCGAATCCTGCCCGATCAGACTTCGCCATCTTTCTCTTCAGCTTTGCAAAAACACAGATAACTCTTAAAACACCCCCAGCCAAACATTCAACCTTTCACTTCATTGTCTTATGAAAGAAGGAAGGAAATGGCAAAATGACAGAAGAGCAAGGAAAATCTGAGACATATTGAGAAATTATTTAAACCAACACAGCTTGCAAATATCAGAGACACACTTCTAGAACTTTTATTTCAAACATCATTCAATTTTCTATTTCATTCAATCTCATTGATTACTAAGAGTCATTTTTCAATTAGGGGAAAAAACATAAAATAGCATCATTTTGTGCTAAATGAAGAAAACAGCATTTTATTTCCCTGATTTCATCGAGTTTTACCACCAGGGTATTAATATTTAACAATCGAGAGTAATGTGTTGATACAGGAATAGACTGTAGAGAGTTGGCAGGTAACACGGGGGAATTGGATTTCCAACGTATTTGGCATTAAATAGAAATACGAGAAAAACTTTTTTTCTAATATAGCTTATGAATACCATCATCAGTGCAGTCGTACTGTTCAATTCACTGAAAACAGCACCTAGCTAGCCAGAAAGCTGTGAGATATTGAATCATACATTGTAATGGTATTCACTTAAATCCATGTAAATAAGCAAAGATTTTTATTATGAATGAATGTCGAAATAAATGTGTTAGTAAATGGATCTGCTGCTCAATTAACGTATCGCCAAACTCCGCCCATCGCGCTATGGGAGATAACTCCTACGATGCTCCGACATCATCAACATAGGTAGTAACTCAGTATAAGTCGACGCCGGTTGATTTGTCCGAAGTTCCTGATGATTTTGCTGCAAAATATTTGCCATACGAACCCACATTGAGACAAAACAAAGGGCATATTCTTTTACAAAAGCTTTCCTATATTTCATTCACTTGAAATATTCAAAAATGATTTCGTGTTATCCCTTTCTCGGAAAGTTTATCGAAGCATGATAAAGTTCGAGTTCCCTCATACTGTAATCATCTATGTCGACGAAGACAGAAGCACATTGCGACTGCAAATCTGGGTAAATGATAAATTACAACAACGACTTTTAATTCAATTTGTAATGTTATAATTTTATTAAATCAGCAATAATATACAAAACCCATCCGACATTGTCAAGACATGCTTTTAGTTCCTATCTATAAGGGGGGGGATCATTTGATTCTGAATGTGATGTCTGGCTGATAAAGGAGTTGAGTCAGTTTGAAAATAAATGATCTTTCCTCAACTGGAACAAAATAAATAATATGCCCCCCACCCCACCCCCACAATAATCTTGGGTTGTCGACGGTGTTTCCTTTTTTTTTTTTTGTTTGTTAGACTTTTTCAGTGAA